AAAGTTCAGGCTCAAACATCAAAACTCAAGTGTATATCGCATTCTCATTTGATACCTTGTTTGATGATCATGATGGGTACTTGATGCTTGAGTATGAAATTCATCATTTGCCACTTGTCATTTTAATTGCAATTCATTATTCTCATTTTATGTGTTATCTTGTAGTTCAATTAAGTCAAATACGAGTTCAAAGTGAGTTCAATTCATTCCTTATTCTTGTCAGCTTCGGTCCACATTCAAGTTTATTTCAGTTCGAGTCCAGATGAAGTCCTCCATATGTCCAACTTGTTTGAGTTCAAATGTCCAAGTCCATGTCAAGTTGTTCATTTCAATTTCATTTGATTAAACTTCGATTTAAGTTTGATTTTATGCTCAAGTTAAAGTTTAAATCAAGCCCCAAATTTTGTCCAAGTCCTTCAATCTTCAGTCAAAATTTCAGCCAGCCTCCGGCGTCTCCTCCGTTTAGGGGAAAACTACGGAAAACTGGGCTCCCGCCACGCTAGAGAAAAGCGTATACGGTAGGTGCCCTCGTATGAGGACACCACGGCCGTGTTAAGTCGTCGCCCCCACACCCACGCTAGAGAAAAGCGTGTATGGTCTTCGGTACCTGTTGCAAAGAGAAGCAGTTGTTCCCGCGAGCGGGTACTTATGTATTCTCGGTCTCGTCGTAGGTGTCGCACCGGGTTCCCAATCCCACCACGCTAGAGAAAAAGCGTGTATAGGCGGTTCTTCCGGTTGCGTCCACTAACGGCGAGAATAGGATTTGGAACCGAAGGACTCTCGCCTACCTTGCCATGGGTGTCGCGCCGGTTGCACCCTCCACCACGCTTAGAGAAAAGCGTGATAGGACAGACCACCGACTCGACACGCATGCCGAGGTAGGGGAGAGAGAAATGGTTCAAAAATCAAGAGAGCATTTTTTTTTTTTTTGCTTTCTCTTTTTTTTTTTTCTTTTTTTTTTTAACTCTTTTCTTCTTTTTTAAACTCTTTTTCTCTCTTTTTTTTTAGCTATGGCTATTTTTTTCTTTTTTTTTCAAAACAGCCATCTTCTTCTTCTCTTTTTTTTTTATATTTTCTCCCTTTTTGGTTTTTTTTTTAACATATACATGATATAAAAATGTTAACATAGTATCTAGTAACACTAATCAGTAAAAAAAAAAACTAACTTTGGCTAACAAATAATGCTAACTAAATGGCAAACAACAAATGGACTTTGGAATAAATATTATCAAAACTTGGTGGGAGACTCTATACAGCAACAATTGAACATGAAGAACAAGTTGCAACACCACACACTTTCCTACCAAAACTTATCTTGAAGTAGTCATTAGAACACTTTCACAAACACCTTGTGGGCAAACCCACTTGCATGCTACTATTGGATTATTTCCGTAGGACTTTCACATTAACCTGAAGCTTTGACTTTGCTCATTATCACCCATACACATTTTTTATTATCTCTTTATCATCACCCACTTTTTTTAACAAATATAAATATGAGCATGTATCCATATATAAATAAGCACATCTCCTCTCCTCTTTCTTACTTAATATGCAACTAAAGACATCATTAATGTAAAAAAAAAAAAATCAAAAAATCAATAACAAAAGAGGGACTAAGATTCCTGCAATGAAGTCAGAGATAAAAAGTGGAAATAAAACAAAAGTTTAAGAGTAAACCTTCTCTTTTCCTTCTGATGAAATCTCTCTTAATGGATTGTTTATGTCACTTGAGAGATTTATGGGGTGTTCACGTGAAAGCAAAAGGAAAATTTCAGGGAACCTGAGTTGTCGACTTGTTATTGAATTTTAGGAAATAAAGCAAATTTGGTTTCAGTTTTGGCATGGAGGACAAGGAAAATAGGGGCTACAGCTTTAAGTAAGAAAGCTTTGGTGTGTGCGTTGTGATAAAAGACGGGGAGACTGCAGGTTTGGTGGAGTTTCAGTCGGATTCGTGTAAGGATGAGAAGCGGCTGAATTCTGCTTTGAGTGTAAGAGAGTCTTCGCTTAAGGTTGGATGTGAGGAAGAGCCGAGGAGTTTGAAGCTCGATTTGGGGACCTGCGTCTGAGGAGGAAATATTGGAGAGCTTTACCTTAATTAACGAGGAAGGATCAAACAGGGATAGGAAGCAGCCTTGAGTAGATTTTGACGGGAAACTAGTGGGAAGGATTTGGGATTTCGATTTCAGAAGGAGGTAGAAGGCAGGGTGATGGGAGTAGCTTTGCGAAAAAGGACCTGCTTCTATTCGAGCTCATTTCATTTAACGACCATAGCGAGGTGTTGGAAAGATAGAACCAGACGAAACTCTGCCGCTTTGCTCCATTTTAACGCCTGAAACAGAGCTGTCTGTTGTGATAACAGATAAGGATTTGCATAAAAGGAGATATGTGAGTTAACGGGCATTTAATAGATTTGAATTTAGTTTCTCTCTTTGGCACCTGGCCTTTGCTAAAAAAATTTAAATTGAAACCCATATTGATGCCTCATCACTTATGCATTAATTCAAGAGGGCAGTGATGTTTCAATCAGCCAAAAATCATCTCGGTTTGTGTGTTGGCTTCTCTTTTTGCGCATCAGCTATCTCGTTTTACGTGTTGATTTCGTCGAACGTCAAAATTAGACAAATTTATAGTGGATTTAGGGTATTGTTGATGTCCCGGTCGCAACGGCGTAGTCCATTTTGAGATCGGACGTCATTTGGGCGACGACGAGGCTTAGTTCCCTCGTAATGCATGTTTTCGCAACACATTTGAATCCCCTTTGAGATTTACGACACAATCTCAAACCATCGAATTTGATCAAATAAAATATATATTCTGAGTGTCGGCGACATTCCGGACGCCATGGTATGGCGAAGAGTGCGCGCTATGAAGAAAAATTAGCCTCGTCGGTGGCGAAATGACGTCCGATCGCAGAACGGATAACGTCGTTGCGTCCGGAACATCGTCAATCATTAAAAGTCTCATCTTATTTGATTAAATTGGATCATTTGGGTGGTGCGAAATTTCAAGAATGATTCATATATGTTACGAAGGCACGCGTTATGAGGGAACTAAGCCTCGTCGTCGCCTAAATGACGTCCGATTGATGAACGGACAACGTCATTGTGTCTGGAACATCCCGACATTTAGAATATTACATTTTATTTAATATTTGAATCGTCTGAAGTGTTAACAAATTTCAAAGGCGGCTCAAACATGATGTGAAGGCCTGCGCTACGACGGAAACAAGGTCTCGAAGATGCTCGGACGATGTCCGATCAACAAACGGACAGCGCCATTGCGTCCGGAACGTCGTCAACATTTAGAAAATATATTTTATTTGATAAATTTGGATCATCTGAGATGGTGGTGAATTTTTAGACGATGCAAATATGATATGAAGACCTGCGTCACAAAGGAAACGAGGTCTCGAAGACACTCGGACGACGTCCGATCGACAAACGGACAGCGCCATTGCGTCCAAAACGTCTCTGATATTCAGAATATACATTTTATTTAATTGAATTGGATCGTTTAAGGTGGCGTCTTAAAATTTCAAAGATGATTCAAATATGTTGCAAATGGCATGCGCTACGAAGAAACGATGCTCGTCGCCAACCAAAACAACGTCCGATCGACGAACGGACA